AGGGAGGAGGCTGCAGCAGCAGCTCAGTGGGTCAAGGAGTTTGTGGCCGATCAGGTCAAAGTGTGGTTCTCAGACATTCTGGCCTGGCGGTGGATACGCATACTTGGGCACACATACGTGCACGGACGCATCCAACCCACGACAAACCCAGACAAACAGGCCCAGACGTGTGTCCATGTGCTGTCATATTCTATTTATCTATTCTGTTTATTATTGTATGGCAACGCAAGCGGGAAACAGGAAAAGGATCTGATGTCACTGACCAAGCGTTTGTCAGTGGTCTGGCATCACATCCAGTGGTGGTCATTTTAGCTGTGGTGTGTGTGTGTGTGTGTTTTGGACACTCCTTCAGGCTAAGACCGCAGTAAATATGAACATAGTGCTGAGCTAGTTTTAAAATTTACATACCGACACACACACACACACACACACACTGTCATAGGAAGTGTGTAGGTGGCGAGGTTATTGACTTGTTGAGACGGAGACACCGGTGGGCAGCAAGTGAACACACTGCTATCGGAATACGATTAATACTGTCTGGCTGATGGATTAGAGTCGTTACAGGAGGAGCAGGGCAGAGGAGTCTGCTGAAGGTGGAGACCATGGTCGTTCCAGAGAAGAAGAAAAAAAATCAGCAAAGTATGACAAGAAGTGAAATTCAGAAATCAAGGTGATATAGAAAAAAAAAACAGAACCTTCCTTAGTCTTTAATCATTTCAGGTCAGATTCTTCAACAATGTCAGACCCTCCAGTCATAGACCGTATATAAGAAATGGATACAAGTGATATACAAATGTTGCATAATATTGGTCAATTATCTTTTGTCTTTTTTTTTTTTTTTGGAATAACTGATGAGTCACAAAACATTCCAAAAATGATCCCTTCCTAATTTGTCACATCTTCTAACTTGTTGAAAAAAGTCTATTTTACGTATGTCAGGTTTTGGGTTTAACCCTCCGTCTCCATCACTGAGTGCTTCTCAGTTGTTTTCATATGCAGTTTTGTATGAGTATAAGTCACTGTGTGTGTGTGTGTGTGTGTGTGTGTGTGCCCATGCAACAGATGTATTCCTCACTTGACTATAATTACATGTGTGAAGTGTTCTGATGACATCATGTTCTCAGACCACTGACAAATCTGTTCCTGGGCTGGAAATCATGGGAGTCAGTCTGGATGGTCACACATACCTCCACAACCCTGTTAGAAACTGATTTTTTTATAATTGAGTTGCGTGTTAAATTTCTTTGACATATTTTTTGAACATTTTTCTTTTGTCGTCGTTGCTTCATCTCTGTTTCACAGCTGTATCTCTCATATAGGGCTAATAACTGTTAGCATAGCGGGAGGAGAATAAAAGCAGATATAAGTCTGTAAACTTCAATTTAATTTAAAATCTAAAATCCGATGTGTACCAGCTGAACTACCAGAAGAGGAATTCCATATTGTCGACTGATTTTGTTTTGGTTTTTTGGTCTTTTTAGCCAAATTGTATTCTTTTATTCAAATATTAGTCAAATTTCTTTCAGCGAACTTAATTATATTCTGAAGAAAATATGAATTATTTATGGAGGACATAGAGTAAGAAGGTCGTTCTTTTTTTACCTAACGATCCCCATGGCTTCTGTCTTGCGGCTCAACGTTATAAAAACAAAAACTTTATAATTAACGTGTGTGAAAATCACACACCTGTAAGAACTGGAGTTTTATTAACGAAGCCCACTGTAATGGTACAAACTCAGGGAGTTAGCTCACACTCATGCATACACACGGGGGACATCAAAATGTCCCCGAGGTGCCCACCCTGGTCCGGTAACCATAGCAACCGTCTTACCTGGCATGGGTATGAAGTGTGACGGTGCATAAAGAAAACAGACAATGAGACGGGAAAAGTGTGAAAGAGGAAGACTGCAGATCTGTCATTCACAAGCAAAGTCAATATTAGGATAGTGGAGAGTGAGGGAGAAGATGGAGGAGTGAAACATGTGTGTGTGTGTGTGTGTGTGTTTGTCTGAGGACAGTGGCATATCTTCCATCCAGCTCTCATCTGTCCTCTCAGTTCTTCTCTGAACAGCTGCAGTTTGAGCCGATGTAAAAACCAAACATATTTAATGTCACACGGCCAAATGTTTCCAAATTCCACATCAGTGAGCCTTGCATTGATGTCTTTGAATCTTCTTCCCTCCACCTCCTCCACCTCCTCCTCTTCACCGCAGCTTCGTTCTTCTCCCTGCGACTGTTTGACTCCTCTAATTGCCCACAGCGGTGATAACTTTCGTCCCTGTTTCGTCCTTCAGTCTGAGACCTGTAGCTTCACTTCACAGTCTTTCCTGATATTCACCTCTCTGTTCTGTTCTTCCTTTGTTTATTTCCAGGGCTAAAGTGTTTATTTAATATCCTAATTAAACAGATTCATAACTGATTCCCTGTCATTCTCTCTGATATCACTGCTGGGCCAAATCTGACTCCTTCTCTGCCCAAAAGCCTGAAGGCACATCCATAAATCTTTAGTATGCTGCACATGATGACAAACTCATGGCAGTGGTTCAAATTTAGTTGAGAAACTATGTGTGTGTCCAGTCTGAGAAAGGAGGGGGGGGGGTTGATGTGTGAGAATTAAGTGTTGCTCTTTCACACCAAGGTCTTCTCAAACACGCAGGGCGTCAAAAGCTCCACTCACTCTGAAAAGACCTTTTAGAAATTCACCACCGAGCTCTTAACACTGAAGACCTGACTCTCTCTCTCTCTCTCCCTCTCTCTCTCTCTCTCTCCCTCCCGCACTCATACACTCCAGTTGTTTTTTGAAATGTTCAGTGTTTTGTCCCGAGGTTGTGATGCAGTAAATGAACAGTCCCTCCCGTGCAGGAGTCCATGTTTTATCATGTCCCACTCAGAGTTAAAGCAGAGCAAAGATCAGTGTCATCAAAAAAACTTGTAAAGTGGACATGTTCCAGAGTAAGACATTTAAATTAAAATGTCCTTAGAAAGTACCATGTTTTTTGCTATTTTTATGCAGGTTATCAGAATATTGTACTTGTGGGGACGGTAGAGAAGACTGTGAGACCACTGGGTGAGAGGGTATGTTGACGTTGAAGAATTATTTGGAGTTAGGATGAAGAGAAGTCTCTAATGAATTAATATTAAGGTGAAAAAGGTTCGAGATGTGAACCGTCTATGGGGGGGGACGTGGGGGGGCTGTGATACGGCATGTACTTAATACGTTCTTCAGCACTCACAGACACACAGGGCTCAGCGGGGGCCTCTTTTCATGTGGGTTACCTCACGGTTTAGACACGGGGTCAAAGGTGAAGGGGGGTCGAATCTATGAGAAAACAAGAACAATTTAGGAAGAAGACGAACTGAGAGGAGGAAGGAGAGGCAGGAGTTAATGAGACCAAAACCTACAAAAGAAAGAAAAAAAGAGGAGAGACAGGAAGTTGTCTCTGTGTGAAATGTCAACTTAATGATTAAATATAATCACTCACTGACTCTCAGATCTCTGAATCCAAATCTCTATTTCCCAACTGAGATGGATTTCAGAGAAATGATAATTTGAATGAACTTTAAATGATAATTATGTCAGAGCTTCTTTGTCAAACACACGTGAAGTAACCTTTCGTTACCACTCTGCTCTGCAGCAGCAGCAGCAGCAGCAGCAGCGGCTGTGGAGCAGGAGATGTTGACGTTCACAGTGAGGCGTGTGAGAAAACAGTCGACTTTCCTCATGCTCCACTTGTGCCTTTAACTTGAATGACATCAAAAGTACGACTTGGAAATATCTTATTTACCCAACCTGAGAACACACGTCAGACAGCTAGCTGTTAGCTGTTAGCTGTTAGCTTGTGCAGCACTGATCCATTAGTCACCTGATGTCAGTTGGACCTCATGACCCACACACACACTGAGGTTTCCATGCAGCAGGTGTAAACGCAGGTGATGTTTTTTTTTTTTTTGCTCAATCACTGCTGCAGGAATGTGAGGAATGTAGCTGAGCGTTAGCTGTTAGCCGATTAGCCTGGTGGAGGTCACGGTGAAACAGTTGGGGTCAAGAGCTGGTAGGTCAACGGTGAGGGGTCAAATAGTCTGTCTGGGACCTGGGTCATGAGACGAAGACACGCACAAACACATGCTGACACCCCCCCCTCCCCCCACTCCCCCCCACCCCCCCCTTGTGGTGTTCCCCCGAGAACGAAGACAAAACAGGCTGTGATTTATTTATGAGCTGCTCTTGATTCACCAAACACGTGTGTTAGGATTTATCATCACTGTGGTGACGTTTCCTCGTCCTCCGCTGAATGAAGTTGCTGCGTATGTCAACCACTGGGTGTGTGAGATTTATTCCCAGACTTGATCTATGGTAGACACCTGGTACAGGTACAGTCTGTGACGGGACTGTATCTGTAGGTGTAGTATTCACAAATATTTGTGTCAGTACTCGATCAGGATCAGGTTCTTTACAGGTCTACACGTGTAACATCTGTGAAAAATGATGAGAGGCTGAGGTGTAGTGGCTAATTTATATCTCTATTATTACTCCTCACCTTCAGCTCTCTCTCTCTCTCTCTCTCTCTCTCTCTCTCTCACACGCCTTTGTCCATTCCGAACTGTGAGCTTTTGAAAGGCAGAGAAATGGAGCTGCCGTGGCGTGGACAGACGAGCCGCAGTAACAGTAATAACAGGGGCCGTTGGACGCAGAGGGAAACAGAGGTCACTAGTGCCCTCTGCAGGTTGTTGAGACGTGTGAAGCCTCCACAGGTTGTGTAAATGTTTGAAGTGGACAAGTGTGTCCTGGCCGGCTGATAAGTAGCCGTGTGTCACAGGAAGTGCTGCTGTTTCACAGGGAGATCAGGAGAGACGGCTGATTATGTTTGACTAAGCAGCGCTGTGTGAACAAAGAACTCAAGAGATCATTTCTGTCTGTGAAGTATTCCATCAAATACCTGTACTGCAGCACGGAGTACTGTGAGACTGATGAGCTGAACCCTCTCTGTCTCCGTGTCCAGGGATCTCAGCGAGAACCAGATCCAAGGAGTTCCACGGAAAGCCTTCAGGGGAGCTGTGGAGATCAAGAACCTGTGAGTGCTACTGTGTGTGTGTGTGTGTGTGTGTGCGGACACACATGTCATCTGTATTAGTGAATGTGAACAACCTGCCTTGTGACCTGCATCAATATTTTATTGTGTTAAATGTCATGTGCTGCTGTTTGCTGTATTGACTGGCACCACTGCTGGTTAGCTGTGTGTGTGTGTGTGTGTGTGTGTGTGTGTGTGTGGGTGTGTGTGTGTGTGTGTGTGTGTTTCAGTTGTTCTCTTCTTGTTCTGCCGCTGTCACGAGACATTGTTCATGAATTAAGGTAACTGCTGGTCATTTTGCAGGTAATTGCTCAGCAGTAATTCTATAAATATGGATTTTTTTCTGTTTTTTCCCCTTTTTTTCCCCGTGAGATAATTTGTTTTTGAAATGTCTCACAATTACGATAAAAGAAAAGGACAACTTGTCCGTGTGTGTGTGTGTGTGTGTGTGTGTGTGTGTGTGTTTGACTGCATTTGTTTACAGTGTTGTTTCTGTGGCTCTCATTATGCGGGAAATTATTTTCTGTCATTATTTATTTTAACTCTTCACTTCCTTTGGGGGTTTGTTGGACTGAGCTTCAGATTCATAACCAAATACGTAACAACATGTAGAGAGAGAGAGAGAGAGAGAGAGAGAGAGCACATTAGCATGAGAGTGACAGCACATGATTTACTGTCCTTATGTCTTAATTAAATTGTTTCAGCAAAGCAATTCTGAGGCAGACAGGGAGAGAAGGGAACGTGAGGAAAGAGAGGGAGAGAGAGAGAGAGAGAGAGAGAGAGAGGAGTCAGTGAATACAAATGAGACATCAGACTGAAGAGAGCAGGAAACTGCAAAGGATCCAGCAATAAATACATTGGAATTTACACTGACAAAGACCAGTGACTTCAGCAGAAAGGACTGAAGTGAAAATTAAAATGCAAAGGCATGAAACAGGTTTGAGCTGCAGGTTTGATGCAGATTCATCCCACTCTGACTCTCTGCCTGGACTTTCACCTACTCTACTGCCCTAACGTACTTTTACATCTTCACATTTCCTTCATTTTTCCTGTGTCTTGTTACAGCCAGTTGGACTACAACCACATCAGCTGTATCGAGGATGGAGCATTCCGAGCGTTACGTGACCTGGAAGTTCTGTAAGTGCCTTCTACACGGGTAGATCACTAATGTCGTCGTTGTTGACTTTTAAAATACTGCGTTGCCTTAAAGGAACTGGATAAATAAATAATGTGCATATATTTTCGGAAATACCAATCAGTGTGTGAGGGTGCAGCAGTCGGTGGTCTGTCCTGAAGTCAGTGTTGGGCCACAATCAACTGATTTTTTTTTTTCATTTTGAACTAAGATTTCAGAGTAAAAACGAAAAATAGAAAAACAGACATTCTCATATGACTACAGTTATACTGAGTGGTTACACTGAACAAAGGATTCATTAAAGTCCAAATATTTTGTATATAAATCACCTATGTTATACGCATGTTTGAAATTCAATATATAAATAATAATATAGTAAATAATAATACTTTTATATAAATAAAATATGAATAATAAAAAGTGTTTTCTACTGTATTTCCCTATTTTTTATTTTTTATTTCATGCATCTAACGTTAGCTCTTCAGTGAATTGAACTGATTTAGAGAAAGTGTAAGAAGTGCTTGTGTTTGAAGTGTATTTGATGAATAAACTCAGAGCTAATTTCCAAACACATTAGTTTAATTAAAAGGAGTGTTTAAAAAAACAACCGTTCTGAACATACCAGTTATGTTTAAAATCAGTTTCACTTCTTTTCTTAGATTATCTGTTCTGACGTTGATCATCCACAGGGTCACCTTTTTATTTTAATTATTATTATTATTGTTGTTTCTTCTCTTCTCAAAACACAAGCAGCATTTTTATTTGCACAAATCAGTCACCTGTCCTGAAGAGTTTGTTTTAGTTTCTATCATCTCTCTCTGGGTTGTCACAGCTGATTTTCTTCTCACACGTCGTAGATTCTTCAGCAGATCTGCGACCTTGCATTCCGCCTTTCTGCAGGGCTCCAGTGACTCTGTGTTGACACTTATTTTTCACACAGAGTTATGTCAAAGTGTTTCATTATATATTAGTTCACTTACTTATTCCCAATAAATAGATCAGTTAGTATACACCTGGTTTTTCACCAAACAGTTTTATGATTTTATTCCCTTATGCAAACAAGAAGTCAGTCTTTTCCCAGACTCAAACCCAGAGCATACTGCATGTAAGGCAGGTGTGAAAACCGCTACACTATGGAGCCACATCATGTGAATCTATTTGAAATAATATGTTAGAAAACATCACTGGGAAAGAATAAATCTGTCCTTTAAACTGTAACTTTTTTGTATGAAATGTGACTGATCTGTTGTTTGCACTTGTTTCCTCAGGACGCTGAACAACAACAACATCAGCAGACTGTCTGTGGCCAGTTTCAACCACATGCCAAAGCTCAGGACCTTGTAAGTGGCGTCACAGAGGGAGGGACGATGTCTCCTGTCTGTGCTCGTCTGTGTTATTGATCAATTGATTGATTAAATGTAACGACCTTTACTTTCTCATCTGGCGTTTCCTGCTACACACTCAACAATATTACCTTCAATTACCGACTGTTCTCCCTTCCCCTTTGTCTCTTTTTGTTTATTTTTTTCCCACCTCCTCCTTTGTTCCCTAAGTCGCCTGCACTCCAACAACCTGCATTGTGACTGTCACGTGGCCTGGCTGTCAGAGTGGTTGCGGCAACGCCCCCGCCTGGGCTTATATACGCAGTGCATGGCCCCTCCGCACCTGAGGGGGCATAATGTGGCTGAGGTGCAGAAGAAGGAGTTTGTCTGCACAGGTGGGTTTGAGGAGGACTGGATTTGTTTGGACTCATCTTTGGTTCTTTGTTGTCAATCTTCAAAAAAATCAACGTGTCAGTTTAAAGATTTTGGACTAAAGATAAGGAATATACCGTTTTTTAATCCAGTTCATCACAGCTAATCCTGTCCCTCTGTCTCTGTCTCTGTCTCTGTCTCGTAGGTCACCACTCCTCGTCGTTCTCCTCCTGCAGTGTGTTACAGTGTCCAGAGTCCTGCACCTGCAGCAACAACATCGTGGACTGCAGAGGGAAGGGACTGACAGAAATACCTACCAACCTTCCTGAGACCATCACTGAGAGTCCCGAAAACACACACACACACACACACACACACCTTATCACACCAACAGAGACACGCACCTTCACGCCGAGACGACCACGCAGCTCCTGCTCCTTCACCATGGCTCTCTCTCTCTCTCTCTCTCTCTCTGTGCCTTTCTGGTACTTTTGTTTCTTTCGGCGCTCCTCTCTGTCTGTCTGTGCAGTAGAATAAAACCACACATCTGTGAAATGAGAAAGCCTGGTCATGCAGCTCTTTCCTGCTTAAGAAAATAATGAAAGGACGAGGGAGGAAGATTCAAAAGATTAATCCAAAGGACAAGCAGGATCGTTTCTATATAAAGAGTTACGTCCAGGAAAAGAACAAGACGAGACGTCAGCACATTTAAATTCTACAGACGAACTGTGGAAAGTTAGAATAAAAAACTCCGGACTGAAGCGACAGGAACGAGGCCGTAACATGTGCAGACCTGGAGTATAACTTTTCACCACTGATAGATTTAAAAAAAAAAAATCTAAATATATTTTAGGGTTTTCCACCAACTGTGTTCAGGAACTCTTTGTCGTCACAGTGACTGAGCTTCTAGAATGTTGTTGTCGTCTTCCGTCCTTCGTCGCTCTTCCTCACTTTTCCTTGGTCTCATTATATTTGTCTCTGACCGACCAGCTGTTATGTAATGGAACACTGCCCGTGTGGTTAATATGTGTGTGTCCTTGTGGGGGGGGTGTCCTCGCCTTCTGATTGTACGTGCAAGAAAAAAAGGGCAAAAGATCAGAGAAACGGAACAGAGTCGGGTATCGGTCATCAACTGCCCTTATCTACACATGTTGCCCCTCCTCGGCCATGAGGCCCCGGCGGTCAGCAGAGATATCTGGTGATAGGGAGAATGTTAATGCCCCTCTTCAATGGTCTGTGTATGTTTGTTCCAGCCGACTGGAGCAGAACGCCATCAAGGTGATTCCAGCTGGAGCCTTCTCTCCGTATAAGAAGCTGCGCAGGATGTGAGTAGAAGAAGAAACGCGTGTATTGTCCGCCCTGCCGACCATTCACAACGCTGTCGCCTCCTGTTTGTCGTCCGTTGTGAAACAAAGGTTACTCTCCGTCTCCTCTCTTCTGTTTTTTTTATGTGTTTTTCTTTTCCCTTCTTCTTCAGAGACTTAAGTAACAACCAGATATCAGAGCTGGCTGCGGACGCATTCCAGGGTCTGCGATCGCTCAACTCTCTGTGAGTACTGTGTTCTATGTTTGTATTCAAGCCAACTGGAGCCTGCACTCAAAAACTTATAATCTTTTAACCAATAATAAACAACCACTGGTCGCACTAGTGACTGTGTCACGTCTCCCTGGTCCTGTAGCTCCGTCAACACACACAGCGTCTACGTCCACCTCAGTCTGACCCATGAAATTCAATTCTGAAATCCTACAACGGCCTTTCTGCCTGGAATCATTTGTGGGTTGCCTCCCACGACACAAAAAACTTTCCTGCAGTGTGTTCAAATAACATAAGTATATAGTCTGTGTATTAGAGCAGTGACAATTGAATGGATGTACAGTACGGTGTGTACTGTGTGTAATTTACTCACATTAATCCTTACAAAGTAGTCATTAATTAAATACAATTTTTTAAATGAAAAAAGGCACAGATTTGCAGAAATGATGTTCTAGATTTTAGAAGACAGAGATGAAGGACACGTCAGGAGAGGGGACGCGAAGTCGTTTCATGACGGAGTTATATTTAGATCCACGTCCTCCGACGTCAATAATTCATAAATGCTGAACTGCTGAATGGAGGCTTTTGCTACTTCATTACACATTTACCACAGAGAGAATAGGACACACACACACACACACAGACACACATGCTGACACACCACATACATTAAACTGCCCTCCGTGCTCGTTGTGTACCGTGGTCTAAAAGGATGGAAATGAGCCGTCAACCCCGTGTCACTGTCTCTGTGTGGACGGACGTCTGTAAAGGTGAACCAGGAATCACACACTCAACCTACAGTTCACAGATGAGTTACGTCAAGAACGTAAGGAGGCTCTGGGTCATGTCTTCACATTTACATCTATACATTGAGCAGACACTTTTATCCAAAGCGACTTACAGAGGAAGATTAGTATTGGCATGTGGGAATCGAACCCACGACTCTCTGCTCTCTGCTTCCAAGGTAGGCATGCTAACTGCTACGCTATGGAACCACAATCAACGCACACTCACACCTCCAATCAGAGCTTAACGTGGAGCTTCCTCAACTCTATGTAACAGTTTACACAAAGTCGTGGAGCTTCCTCAACTCTATGTTACAGTTTACACAAAGACACACACACAGACACACACACCGTGTGTGTAGGTCTGAGGTACAGCGGTGCGGTGGACGCACAATGACTTGTTTTATGGGAGGAAAAGCCACAGAGATGTTTTCTAAACCTCTAAAGATTTCTTTACTTTGACTTGAACAGCAGTTGAAATAGTTTCACATTCAGAATTGTTTTAAAAATGACCCAAAATAGTGGTTCACAGTTGGCGTGTGTGGTGCGGTGCCGGCGCGGTGCCGGCGCAGGCCTGCGAAACAGTACGTGCTAATGGGTAGTGTGCACGAGTGACAAATGAAGCGTTCGCTCCCCGCGTCGAGTGTTTCCCAACCGCAGGTCTCCGAGGGACAGCCACTCAGCGCCGGGAAATAAAAGCCGATGTGAAACACATGTCTGTGGACTGCTGACGTAGAAAGAGTCAAGTCAGCATAAAGGCTGAAGATGAACGATAGTCGTGGATGTTGTGTGTTTGTCTACGTCCAAGGGTGGTGTCAGCCAGAGATCGGATCTGTTTGTGTTTATAAGCCGCTGTTTTTATGAAAAGCATTTCTCCAATAACACGGAACATTCCTCCCAGCTGCTGCTGCTGCTGCTGCTGCTGCTGCTGCTG